TTAGAGGTGTTGTTGGCAACGGTTGCTAGGGAGAGCTGGGTTCAGTTACAGACACACTGATGCCTGCTCTAATAATACTTTGCTCTGCATAGCTCGGATGCAGACACCTCTTGGCTAAACAGGGCGCACGCATTTCAACAGAGGAGGCTTGAACTTGTACCACCCAAGCATAGCTCGGCGAGGAGCCCTCCCCGAGCCCAACTGGACAGCCCGGGGTGGTGACGGGGCAGTGCTGGGCGGAGGGGGCTCGGGCCTCTAATTCCTGTCATTCCGAACGTCCCATAAAAAGAGGCACGCTCATTCTTCCCCGCCCCGTGAAACTGGAGCCCCGGCCCCATTATCGCGCAATTCCCTGGTGAGGGTCCAGGCAGAGTTTTGGTGGTTTCTGTCACCCAGGGGCCCTGGGCAGCCCACATTCTCTGGGAAGTCAGAAATCACCAAGCCACGTACTCCAGTGGGTGTGGGACTTCACAAATATGAAGAAGCCGGGAGCCGGACGGGAAGGGTGGGGAGAGGCGGGCTGGGCAGCGAAGGGGATCACTCCCCGGCTTCCCCTGGGTGGCCTGGCCCCTGGCACAGCCTGGGAATGTGGGTGGAGAGTGAAGCCCTTTTCCTACCACATGTGATAGCTGCTCTCACACATATCTGAGGCCAAGAAAAAGGAACAGGATGGGGGAGAGGAGCTGAGGACAGAGAGAAATGGGGTCACTGGGAGGAGAGAGGCAGCTGGGGGCTCCGCCTGGTTCACTCGGAACCTCAGAACGATGGTGAGGAGCATGAAAAAGGGGCCCTGGGATGGTCCAGACCGGCTTCCTCATTGCACGGAGGGTAAACCGAGGACGGGCAGAGTGAAGGGGAGGTTCAGCTGCTGATGTCTCCCCCTTCGGCGTTCTCCTCCCAGCTCACCCACCTCGCTCAGCGGCAAGTCCAGTCCCTGGCACCCATGTATTGACTCACTTATGGGGAGACAGGCAGGACCAGCGGGCTCACAAGCGACAACGGTGCACAGTCAGGGCGTCGCTGGGGTATCTTCCTGATAGTGGTGCTCAACCTGTCGCAGCATAGATTCACCTGGGGGGTTCTTTAAAACAGGATGCCCATGTCTTGGCCAGTGTTGCTTAGTAGTTAGAGCGTCGGCCCGCGTACCGAAGGGTTGTGGGTTCAAATCCCAGTCAGGGGCACGTACCTGGGTTATAGGTTTGACCCCCGGCCTAGTTGGGATGCGTGCAGGAGGCAACCAATTGATGTATCTCTCTTACGTCGATGTTTCTCTCTCTCTCCCCCTCCCTCCCTTTTCCACTCTCTCTCTACAAAGCAATGGGGACAATATCCTCGGGTGAGGACTAACAACAGCAACAGAAAGGATGCCCAGGCCCCGTCCTGGGAGAGTGTAATCAATCAGTGGTCTGGGGGAGGGGCCCTCCCGCACGTTTTGAAAGCTCCTTCCCACGCGAGCGTAATGGACAGCCAGGCTGAACCACGGGCCTAAGGAAAGCCCGGCACTCCCAGGCTGGATCCCACTCCCCACAACCGCACCGACAAAGCCTGTGCCTCGGTCGGCCCGTCTGCGACACTGAGCCATCACCTACGGTCGCCCAGTGCCCCGTCACCGGCCAGCAGCGCCGGATGAGACGCTCAGGTCCACCAGGCCCACTGGATCAGAATCTGCTTCACACTCACATTCAAGGTGAGACACTGATCTAACGTACACGCCTGATTGGCACATGATGGACATTTAAGAAATGTCTGTGTATGAGGTAGAATTTTACTTATAAGAACACCACCAAGAGAAGAACCACATGTCAGGCAAAAAGACTCGGTTTAGATGTAACAACTGAAGAGCGTACTTTTCGCGGTGGTACTGGTGACAGGGGTCCACGGAGACCCCAGGGTGGTCTCTGGCATCACCCTAGCTCATGAGGGCAGTGCCTCTGGCTTCCTTCAGATGCCAAAGCTGAGTCTGGCTGGGAAGGACTAAAGGTCCTGTGACCTCCCCCCGCCCCATTTCCCTCTCCACAGGGGCTGCACCCCAGGCTGACAGGCCGCCCTCACACGCCTGCCCAGTGTCCACTCTATCAGAGCCTGCCCCGCCCTCCCGTGCTGCCAGCTCCCACTGCTGAAGCCCAGGCGGCAAACGCGGTTGGCCAAGGAGGGCAACATCCAAAGCCAGCTGCTGGGAGCTGTGCTCCGCGGGCACTTCACACCCTGGGCCCTTCGCAGCCAGTGCCAAGCACTAAGCCGGGTCTCAGAACTTGGACGTGGTGGCAGCAGCCAAACCTGGCCCCATGAGGGGCGTCTCAGAGGCCACCAAACTGAACCAGGGGCTGGCTGGGGACCCAGTGGCCGTGGCCTGGCGTGGAAGGAGCTGAGTGTGAACCTCAGAGGGAGGAAGGGGAGGGAAGGGCTCTGGGGCTGGGCCCAGGGCTGCCAGCAAAGGGATATAAATCAGATTCACCAGAAAAATGAAAGCTGGTGAAAAGAGACATCCCTGTGGGTGTTAAGGAGGAGAAGGGGGCTGGATGAGCCATGCTCTCTCTTCTTGTACTCTGTGAATCTGGGGTGGTGAGTGGCCAGGAGTTATGCCGCCTGGAAGCCTACACTCACCGGCCACTTCCTGAGCTGCGGAGAGGAGTGGCAGGGCCCACGGAGGCCCAGCCAGACATGGGTGGTGGCTTCCTGGGGGCCTGGTAAGCGGGGTTTGGGGCGTCTGTAGGGAGCTGGGGTAACCTCACGCCAGCACATCCAGCCTGCCTTCCACAGGAGCCCAAAGGGCCTTGAACAGCGACTCAGGAGGTCCAAGTGCCCGACTCATGCCCCTGGTTATGCCCTCTGAGGGGCCCCCTCCTCAGCGTACATGAAAGCTGGGGTTGGAGGTGGTGAAGAGGGGGAGGATGTTTCCATTTCTAAATACCTGACCCACAAGTGCTCCACGCAGGCAAACGCTGTGGGAGGGAGAACTCTCCTCTGCCCAGAGACAAGGTGGCCTCAGTGGGGTTGGCACACCTTGAGCCACGATATGGGGTGGGCCGGTTTCCGAGGACCAGGGGGACCCAGGACTGCTTCATGCCAGGGCCAGGCCGTGGGAGAGTGAGGAAGGAAGAGGCCATGTGGCCCCTCGCGCCCTCCCCAGCCCGAGTCATCTCCAGCAGCACAGAATCCTGAGGCCGCTGCCGAGTGCCAAGCGGCTGAGCACTGGCCCAGGGAGAGCGCAGAGCCAAGCTCCGGCTGACGGTGTGAACCCGGCCGAGAAGCCCCGTTTCTCAGCTTTCAGTTTAGTCCTCTCTCTCTCTGTCCTGGTGTTTGCCAGCCGGTGTCTCTCAGCACAGCAGATCCGCGAGAAGTCATTAGCGGGGGGCTGTGGAGAGGACTTCGCTGAGCTCAGTGCAGCCTAACAGGTTCCCTTCCTCTGTTGCAGGCCAGTCTGCTTTTGGACTAACGGAGAGGCCCGTGTCTGGCCACGGAGCCCCTTTAGTGGGTGAGCACTCGAAGGATTGATGCCATGCGGGATGCTGTGGGCGAGGCCGCTCTAACCAGGGGTCCTTGGAAGAAATGCCTGACCTGGGCAGGATCTTGGGGGGTCCCTTGGTCAGGGGGTGCGTGGTCAGGTGCATCATCCCATGCCCTATATGTCTGTCCGTCACTGGCTTTGGCGAGGTTACCAGGATCTGGTCGCCACTGTCCAGAAACCTTGCCCTCTCCTGGCCCTTCTCAAGAAAGGACAAAGGCCAAGACCACAGGCCACAGGCCGATCCCATCCTGGACTCCCTGTGCCTGGTGGTACGTGGCAGACAGGCGGGCTCCCCGCTGCCACCCCCCACACGCTCCCGGGACATTCCGGCCCGCAAGGAACATGTCCAATGTGCAAATCCCTCAGGTAATGCGGGAATTCGTCACCAGGGGAGCGTGGGCGATCCAGGAATGGGAACCCGATCAGGGCCCGGAGCTGGAGACGCAGCCCAGGCCGGCCAGCGAGGGCTCAGGTTGCAGTGAGCGGGCTCCTTGGGAAGAGGAGAGGACCGCGGGATGGAGCCCTCTGGGCCGTGCGTGGAGAGGGCTCCTGCCTCCCTGTTCGTAGGGGGAAGACAGCAGACCGTGGACCAGGTGGTGGAGACCAGGTGGCCATCTGTCCTAGTTCACACTTGGTGTCTGGATAGTCCCAGGGCCTAGTGTGGCCACCATGCCCTGCTACCTGCTACCTATCCCTGACGCCACCAGTTCACCTACGACCACCTCTGATAGACGAGCTGGCATCAGCCCCCCGGCTCCGCACTCGAGATGAAACTGTGCTGGGCTCAGTCTAAGTGCCCACGCTCACGCCTACTACACACTCACCCCAGTGAAACCATCGCGGAGCTCTGCCGCCGTGGAGGAAAGACGGAGGAGCCGGACGAAGCTCCCGGGGGCGGAGGGTTTTGACTGGGAGAGCACCAAGGAACAAGACTATGAAATCACCACGCTCCCCTCTTCCCCATGAGGATTTCAGGAAGCTCAGAGCATCAGCAGACAGGCCAGACCTTCCCTGCCCAAGGCCCTTGTACCTTCTGCTCAGACTCATCTAAGCACCAGCTACAACCAAGGGCACCACCTCCAGGGGTGGGGGCCGGGGGGCTGGTCCTGGAAAGGGGGAGCCAGAAGAGAGAGGAGTCCGCCGCAAGGTCGTGTCTACTCAGACGTGGAGAGGTCAAAGCACAGGCTGGCTCAGACCGCGAGCCAGCCCTCTTATCATGGAAATAGAAAGAGGCAGAGGCTGGTTAAACATGACGCACCTATAAAAGTATACTGGGCCGCCGTCACCATGGAGCCCTCACACAAACACACGTAAATCCGGCCACTCAGCCCTTGCCCCTTGAGTGCCTTCTTATTTTCTATAATTAATCGGGCAAGGGTGGAACCTGGGAAAAGTTCAACCGTGGTCAGAATTTGCAGCCTTCTCTCTAGTAATAACCCCAGGGGCAGGGAGGGGGGGCGGCGGCCCGGACGCAGCTGCCGGTGTCGGTTACCTGGAGCATGTTGAGCAGCAGGCTGCGGAACTTGGTCCCCTCCACCATGAAGAGCGCCATCTTGTCGCAGAGCTTGGCGGCCGTGAAGGCGAAGCTGCGGTCGGACACGGCCTTCTGGTAGATGGTGCGCACGATCTCGCCCAGCATCTCCTCCGAGTTGGTCGAGTTCTGCGCCTCCTCCATGAAGGTGCTGAGCTTGGCGTCCACGTCGCTGCTGTTGTTGCGCATGCTGTTCAGGATCTCAATCAGCTTGTCCATCTTGTTCTGCTGCGGGGTGGGGGGCTCCACGGCCACCTCGTCCTGGGGGCAGGGAGACAAACCGAGGCAGCCTGAGTGGAGCCGAGGTTGTGTGTGTGTGTGTGTGTGTGTGTGTGTGTGTGTGTGTGTGTGAGAGTTGGGGGAGTGGCCCGTATGGGAAGTGTGCTGCCCCCAGAAAGGACCCAGCCCTACCTTCTAGAACCCTGTCTGGTTCCCCCCAGGAATGCTGACCTGCACCAAGGATCCTCAGCCCCACGCTCTCTGCCGCCCTTGTCCCTGGCCCCTGCGACATCCCTTCTAGCGAGCCCCATCTCTCACCCAGGATTCTCACGTGTATGGGTTCTGTTTGCCTACGTGCCCATCAAAGGTCTCAATCGAGAAATGGTTTAATAGGGCTCACCGAAGATGCAATAAGATAACAAATAAAAACTGGGCCAAAGCCCTGACCGGTTTGGCTCAGTGGATAGAGCGTCGGCCTTCGGACTAAAGGGTCCCAGGTTCGATTCCAGTCAAGGGCATGTACCTTGGTTGCAGGCACTTCCCCAGTGGGGAGTGTGCAGGAGGCAGCTGATGGATGTTTCTAACTCTCTATCCCTCTCCCTTTCTCTCTGTAAAAAATCAATAAAGTATATTAAAAAAAAATTGGGCCAAAGAGAAAACGAGGGCAGGAAGACTAGGTGGGGAAGGAAAGTGGCATCCAGAATGCTTGCTATGCTGGTCAGACGCGCCCACGGAGTAGCTCTAGGCTCCTAGAGCCCACGGTGGTTGTGTTCTCTGGGCGTAGGGTTCCCTGTGGACACGGCCATGGCCACAGCTTTGTGTCCTATGGCGACGGCTGGCCTTCTACCCACAAACACTACACACCAAGGAGTCCTCCTACGTGTCACCAAAACGAGGGGCACTTCTAGGAGGGGAATCTCAGGCAGAAGCCTACACCCTCCTGAGGTTTCAATGCCACGGCCCAGAGGCAGGCGGGAGGAGGGAGAATGGCACCTGACAGTCGCAAAAGTACTTACTCAAACACCACAGGCTGGTGGCCGGGAGTGTGAGGGACTTAACTGCGGGGGTGTGAGGGCAGGTGATGGGCAGGATCAAGGGCAGAAGGAAGGTCTGCACTGGCCTCTCTGTTCTCAACAAGGAGAGCTCTGGGCCGGGGCACGGACGGAGGTTCCGGAACCTGCTCTCTGCTTCCAGTGTGTGGCTTGGGAAGTGGCCGTCACTCCCGCACCTCCCAGGCACGGCCTCTTCCTCCCCGCCCCTCCCCTCTTCGGCTGAGGGGTGGTACCCCGTGCCCACTTGAGGGGCCAGAATGTGCTGGAGGGGTTCATGCAGGTGCCAGGAATCCCCAAGGCAGTGGCGGCTCCCGCTTCTCTCCACAGGGCGCCCCAGGCCCTCAAACCCGAGCCCACCTGCCAATGTGCCTACCTCACGTGTCCTCCCTGGTGGAAGAGAACAATGAAAATGCAATTACCGGTCCCTTTTCCTTCAGCCTCCGCCGCAGCCTGTCTTTGGAAGACTGGAGCAGGGTAATTCTGGGCCGCTCCCCGAGGCGCTCGGGGGTAACACTGTCTTTACGCTTTGCCTCGGCCTCCGGGGCTCCCGGCTGCTGCGGGGGCAGCCTCTCAGAAGCCGCTGGGGCCGGGCCATCGGGGCTGCAGGGGGGCTCGAGGCCGCTGTGCCCGGTGTCCCCCAGGGCGTCCTCGAGCTTGGGGCTGCCCACGGTCACGGTCTCTTTAGCATTGCGGTGGGTGCCTGCCTCTCCCTTGTCGCCGGGTGGGTGCTTCATGTTGCCATGGTGCCAGCGCCGGTTCTGGCTGTAGCCGTGATGGGTGGGCCTCCCTGAGGGGTGGGGCGCCGAGCCCCCCTGGTAGGACTTCTGATGGTCCCTGTTGTGTTTGGCACTGCCTGGCTGGTGGTCGCCGTGCTGCTGGGGCTTGCTCCCTCCTGGAGGTCTCTGCTGCCGTCTGCAAACCACAGGGAAAGACAGAGAGGGTCACTGGGTGGGCTGTGCAGGGGCCTTTGTCCAAACAGTAAGAGAGGAATTTACCGAGTTGCTCATTTAGTCATTCTTTCAACACCCCTGCTGGGTGCCTCCTGTGTGCCAGGCTCCGTGACAGGGCCTGGGGATACAGCAGGGAACGAGATGACAGGTCCCTGAGATCACAGAGGAGTTAAGTCAATCCTTGGCTAAAATAAGTATTTTATTCCCCTGGTAGAATATGCATTAGCACATGTGCGGGGAATACAATTAAAACGATACAATAGCTGTGCAGTGAGCCCTCCTAACTCTGTCTGCAGCCACGCGGTGTCCTCTTGAAGCGACTGTTATCGTTTTGTGAATCTTCCAAACGTATTCGTTACATGTCCTGGCAAAAATATATACACAGACCTGCATCTGATAACAACTATCCTGTTAATGACTTAAAAAAAAAAATCCTCAACCAAGGACATGCTGAGAGAGAGGAAGGGAGAAAGAGAGAAACATCCATCGGTTACAGGAGCTCAAACCCGCAACCCAGGTATGTGCCCTGACAGGGAGTGGAACTAGCAACCTTTCAGTTCACAGGACAATGCTGCTCAACCAACTGAGCCACACTGGCAGGGCTCCTGGTAATGACTGCTTACCATAATGACTCTTGAAAAGCTGTATCATTTGTTAAACAACTTTCTTTTTGATACACTGACATTTTTACCCCCAAACCCAGTAACAAAATCTACACTAATAAAAGAGAAAGAAGCAAACTGACTGTACCTTTGCAACGCCCACCAGCCAATCAAGAGTATGCAAATTAACCCAACAAAGATGGCAGGTTAATTTGCATATGCAGGTGCAGGTGCCGAGCGGCCAGGGGCAGGGCAGGACACTTGTGTCATCGCCATGGTGACGACGCAGGTGTTCCGCACCACCCCAGCCCGCTCCGGCCTCTGGGCAGCGTGGGAAGGCGGAAAGGAGGCTCCGGCCAGAGCGAAGGCGGTGCTGGCAGTCAGGGGAAGGAAGGCCCGTTCTTGCACAAATCTTCGTGCATCGGGCCTCTAGTATGCTATCAACAGTTGTTATAAGCTGAATTGTGCACCTCCCACCTCAATTCATGTGTCAAAGCCCCAACCCCCAGAACCTCAGAAAGTGACTGTATGTGAAGATAGGGCCTTTTCTAAAGGTGATTCAGTTAAAATGAGGCTGTTAGGATGGAGCCCAATCCAATGTGACTATTGTCTTTATT